AACTTGCAACGACGAGGGAATTAAGATCTTCAGCAAAAGCCTCTTCCTTGAGGTCCCAAAAAGAGATCCAAGAAGCGGTAGCACTTGAATCGCAGGTTCTGAAAACAGTGAAGGGTCTCTCGGGGAGAGGCCCAAGCATAATTACCGCTCTTAGCTCCTTCCTCCTCAGATGGACAGAGCCTCCTCTTTCCTTGGGAATTTCTTTTCTCTCTTTTTACTTTTTTCAAAGCTTTCGTGTGGTGGGTTTTGTCCCATATCCTCTTTCTGTAGTCCATACCTGTAATAGGAAAGTAAGGGTGGTTTGATTGCGGAAAGATTCAACAGAAAAAACTTTGTGGGCAAAGGAAAATTTTGGCCGAGAGTTTTGAGAGATAGTTTGCCAAGAGAGAGTTTGTGAGAGAGATGAGAAGAATCAAAATTTCACTTGCCGGCAAAATGAAAGTTTTGAGATTTCACAAAGTGTTTTGGCAGGCAAAGGAATCCTCTACCAAAATCAAACGACATGGTTTTGTGTTTTAACTTTTTTGGTGTGTCTCACATTTTCTCAAGTGTCATGATAAGGAGCCTAAAGATACATTATTATTTTTATATCAGATAAAATAAAAAAAATTAAAGTATATATTATTGAATTGATAACAAGTGTCATGATAAAAGTGTTATAATGACATAAACCAACAAATGTCCTTATAGACATGTCAGGAAAGACCATTTTTGTTGTAGTGAGAAAGCAGATAATGAAACGAATTTGTTACCGTGTTGAGACAAAAACAATTATTCTTTTGTCCTTGCTACAAATTAAGTTGACTTTAAGGGATTGTATATCCTAGGAAGTTGGTGGTAGGTTTGTTTGTTTCATAACTTGTGTAGCTCCAAGTAGAGTATACTTAGAGCTAAAAAATATTAGTGACTTAGAAGCTATTAGGTGATCAACAAAATTATGTTTGGATATAATTTCAAATCCAAGAAATTCATCAACAAGGACGAGACCTAATTTCTTCCACATTTAAGAGAAAGAGAAGTTTGTGTCGTTTATAACATGGTCTTTGTTGAATTCCAAGTCCCAAAAATTCTTTCAAGGCCTAATTCCATTCCCAAAAATTCTTTCAAGACCTAATTCCATTTATGCAGAAGAGCAGTTTGTGTCGTTTATAGCATTAAGTCTGTGTGCATGGATTTTCAAAGAATACTGTGCTACTTGCGACATTGAATTGAATGGCATTTAAACTTCAAACATCGAGTGGGCAATGAAAAAGAAACAAGAATTATGTCTTTTATGGTCAAAATAAGAAGTTAACAAATTAATTATTTCTTCAACCGCTCATCATTAAAGTCAACTCGAGGCTTATATGTAGTAGTAGTATTAGGTTAGGCATAATTCTTTATCAATGCTAAACATAGGGACACACGAACACACACATGCATGTGCCTATATGCTTTTTTGTTCATACCCAATTTCTTTTTCTCAAGTTGAATCTAATAATTTATTGTTCAAAAATAAAGAAGGGAGGTTGCATAGAGTTTTTGCTCTTGATTTTTGCTGGGATTCTGGAAGTTGAATTAGGGGTTGTCTGATTTTGCATTTTGGTGGTTATACACTTAATACTTGACTAGAGAGAGAGAGTGAAAGCTATTAAATTTTAACCATCCTTCCTTAGTATATGATTCTCTGCATGTTTGTTTCTTTGTTGTCATCTAACGTAAAACTTGTAAAGTAATCAAGTTAGAGAAAGTGGTTAACAAGGAATGATACTTGATTCTATTGGAATGCGTCTTGTACATTGGTTCGTCTTCTTTGCTTTTTTGCACCCCTTTTAAGTGCTCTTATTAAGGTTTTGTTTAATAATTCAATTCAGCATTTAAATTTAATGGTTTTAGACTTTAATATGTTCAAACATGTTTGATAATAAAACATAGAACATCTAAATTAATTAAATAGCTAGCTCTGTACTATCTAAGCAAATCTCACTCCAAAAAATAATTAATTACCTATTCACTTATTACTTAATGAAAAATATACACAAAAGTTAAAATTTCAATACTTAACAATTCAGTAACTTAATAACTTTAAATTTTAGACTTAAGATTCCATATTTTAATTTTATTAAATGCACCGTAAGTTTCGTTAACAAGTTGTAATAGGCAAAGAAAAAAATAGAATTTGTTACAATGTAGAGACAAAAGAATAATTCTTTTGTCCTGATTACTTCAATTAAGGTTGGCTTATAATTGGTTCTATATCCTAGGCAATTGGAGGAGGGTTAAACTAACATTTTCTCTAAATGTTGAACTCAAAAAAAAAAAAAAAAGTGACTCTAGAAGCTGCTCGGGTCAACACACGTTATTACAGTCCAAGAAGTTCACATGGAAGACAAGATCTATATTTCCATCCACATTAATAAGGAAGGCAACTTTCTGTGCACAAGACGAAATTTTATGTTGAATTTAGTAGCCCTTGACAAGTTTTGCACATAATACGACTGTAGTGTTTCAAGAGTAGAATAGACTACTTACGACATTGAAATAAATGTCACTTGGACCTTAAACATGTGGTGGGCACTGTACAGGAAAATGAATTGTTTCTTTTATAGTCAATGAGACGTTAAAAACTTCTTGGTTAATTATCTTGAAACATACGGTTGAGTCTTGAGATATAGAAAACAAGCTATATTGCTCTCTTTTTTTCTCAACAAAAGTTTAAGAAATAGTTTAAGTTTGTACTTTTGTAATATATATGAGCAAAGGAACAAATCTCTTCTTGGAATGATTTTGTGACAGTGCATAGTCTTTGGCAGATGCACTATGTAAGTTGGTGTTCAGCATTTCGTGATTTTGAATTTTACTGAAATGATATGTCTGCCTCCGTTGGCTATGCTGAATGTTTTTTAAGTTTCACATTGGTACTCATTTGTATGCCTCTAGGGTATAACACCTCTTTCTTTTCTCCATTTTTAAGTTGCTAAAACTTGTGCTATTGTCTCTGCTTCAAGTGTGTTAAGTACAATTATGCGTAGATATGTAAGCTCTGTTTTAAAACTCGGACCGGACCGGCCGGTCGAACCGGGAACTGGCCAGGTAGCCGGTCCGAGTCATATTAAAAAACCGAAAATTTAAAATCCGGTCAAAATCGGTCAAAAACCGGGTTTGACCGGAAAAAATCGATTTTTTCCGTTCAACAGTAATTTTTTTAAAAAAATTCAAAGTTTTTAATATTATGTTTTGACCCCCTAAATTGTTAAAACTTATTGATATACCTCAAATATTTGATACTTTATAAATATTGTCCTAAAATTTGATGTTATTTTTCAATTAAATTCATAATTTTAATTCTAAACTTGTTAACATTTATTAAATAATATAAATTGCTACTTGATTGTTCTAATTTCTTTGTATTTTCTTGTTAAATATATTTGAAACATCAAATATATATGAATATACCTTTATTAATATCAATATATTATTAGATATTATATATATAATATTTTAATTTTTAAATAATTTTTATTTATGACGTCATCCGGTTCGACCCTTATCGACCCCCGGTTAAATCCATTGATCCCTGACCCCTGACCTCGGCCGAGTCACTATCCGGTCCGATTCTGAAAACATAGTATGTAAGTAGGCCTAGCTGAGGCAATTCTTTTTTTTTTTTTTTTTTGCACAAAATACAGACAATTGGCTTCATACGAATGTCACATTATTGGAAACATATTTTCTAAGCACGTTTTTCAACCACTTTTTTTTTATCAGAAGGTGCTATGCGATTACTTGCTCATAAACGCTTCTAAAGAGCAGCGAATCCTTAGTTTTGCAATTAGTTCACAGAAGCATCAAGTCCGCTGGTGATCAGCAGAAAAAGTTGTTCCTTTCGTGGCACTCGAAATTTCTTGGCCAAAATATTTTAACTTGCTAATGTGCTTTCTTGATCATTGTCTCTTCATTTATTACTACTAACGATGATGGTAATGTTTCTGTGGTATAATGACATTATGCTGCATGGTTTTATAAAGAAGCTGTGGATTTCAAATATCACCATGCGAACAATGTCTGAAGATGTGTAAACTATTCAGAATTTATGAACCAAATTGTTTTGCTTGCGAAAATTATGAATGCATTTGTCGGCAAGAACACCCCAAGTGTAGACGAAAATGGTCCTAATTGCTGCATCCAGTTCACCAACAGGTTACTTGAGGGGCCTAGAAACCACCATCAACTGCTGATTACAGAAGCAGAAACAGGACAGGGGCTGTCTCGAAGATATTGTGCATATCTTCATAGAGATTCTACTGATGTGGCAGCTTAACGTTTGATGAAAGTCATTTGGGCTTAATTAAATGGTTAATATCTGAGATATGATCATAATTTAATTAAATCATGATTCACTTATTTTGCTTTCTCAGATTATGTTGCTTTAGTGGTACTGTCACTCCCCGCATCCTATCAAATAATTTATAATATTTAACGTTCTGAGTTCCTAATAACTTGATAAAAAATTTACGTTCGAAAGCTATTGAACTAGCTTTCTGACTTAGGTATTACAGGTTTGCTTTTATCATAAATGGGTGATTAAATCAGTGAATTCTACTGATGTAGCAGCTCAAGATTTGATGAAAGTTATTTGGGCTTAATTAGGTGGTTTCTATTTGAGGTATGACCATAACCTAATTGAGAATCATGTTAGTCAATGACATTGATTCACTTATTTTGCTTTGTTAGAATGTTAGAACGTTGTAAGCCACAGATAATTTGGTTTAAGCATTTTGAACACGTGATTTACGCGCGAAAAGTTACTAAGCTAGCCCTCGGACTTGAGTATCACAGGCTTGCTTTATCATAAGTAGGTGTTTAAATTAGTAAATCTGAGCAACTGGATGGCAACAGGCTCCTATTTAGTTTTGTAGGACCAAATAATTAGTAGTAATCTAATAGACAATGAAGAATATGTCTTATCACTTTTTAGAGTAAAACAACAGAACAGAAAAAGATAATCAGTCAAAACCAAATGAAAAAAAAAGCACAATCTTCTTGATATCTGACCAATGGGAAGGCAGAGTAGAAAGGCTGAAAAAGAGAAGGATGCAGTATGTCTTTATCTGCCACTATTGCTAGTTTGCTACATAATCAACAGACAAAAGAAAGGCCAGAGGGACAAGGGAAGGGGCAGCCAGCTTCTTTATTGCCCAAGAATACTTTTGATACTTTCTATATCAAGAGAATTGATGTCATTGGAAGCCAGTAGTTGAGAGAGCCTTTCACTCAGATCATCAGCATCTCTAGTCAGTCTTCTGATGTGGTTGCATGTCTCTTGCAGTACTTTTGATGCCGGCACCTGAGACATGTCCAAAAGGTAAAAGATTATCAGTATCTAATTAACAAAGACCGAATGGATTTGTCAATCCTTCTGCGAAAGTTACTTGTTTGGCAAATCTAATGTCAAATATCTATTGCTTTCACTAAACTGTTGTTTGAATGAATGACTCCGGCGTTCACAGTTGCTCTTCTTGACTAAAAATGCTTCATTATACCCCCTTCTCTTTTGTCGTTGTTTATCAATTTGCTTTACTCTGGATATTTGATTCTATAACTTGTAAGTTTTCACATTTTCTTATAGCATGAAGAGTGTATTGCAATCTAGGACAAGCCTGCATTAGCATCGGTCCATGCAATATTTTCGGTTGCACAGAGGATTACTGCACAAGAGAGCTGCAATAGCAAGGGTCACATGACAATGCCACCATTTCTGTACTTTTCTATGCATGGAAAAAGTTTTCAAAATGTTTCTAGAAGTGGAATGGATATTCAGAAAAGATAATTGTTAACATACCCTTCTGTTCTTTGAACCAGAATGTGGCAACAAAGCTTGTAGCTTTAAGATGAGATTATTGATCTCATCTTCTGTGGATCCAGAACCTCTTGACCTTCTGCTAGACATGATTTTGGCTTGTTTTGTGCTATTCTATATCTTGTAGTAGTATTATTACTATTATTGCTGCTGTTGCAACTTTTAATAGGTGGGGAAATTGAAGGGAAGGGAATGAGTGGCTTAAATAAGGCAAAGCAGGGTGAGTTTTTGGCACTTGTTAGTTAGAAAATGACAAGCCGACATGGGAAGTAGCAGCTGAAGTCATACTGGTAAGGTCCCATCTGTCTCACTCTATTGCATACTTTGGACCCACAATTACAGGGACTTTTTGCTAAAGAAGCAATGAAAAAGGGCCTGGTCTTATCAGTTTCTCAGTTTAGCTTCAACTACTACACATATGTTGCCCTTAATTGAACTTGTCTCCCCTGTGATTGTGTTGTTTGTGTTCTTTAAAAAAAACAAAAAAAAAAAAAAACAAAAGAAAAAAGAAAAAAAGGGATGCATACATGCTACCAGAAAGATACCTTGTTTCTAGTTTGTTAATTGATGGTGTCCTTGGCCCTATTTTTGTCTGATACATTGCCTCAATGCCTCCCCTTCGTGTTTTAGAAATTGAGTTTTAAGTTTCACATTTCCCATCAAATTTTCCAAGGGAAACATTTTCCAGGATGACCTAATTTTATTTATTACCTTTGACCTGTTCACAAGGACAGGAAATGCATGTGACCTAGATCACAAAAGATGAAGCACATTGAGCCTACTTTTGTTTGGATTCACTGAACAAACATCCCTTATACAAGGTGCTAATGTAGTCCCCAAGGGTTTCTCTGACAAGTCCACGAGTACATGTTTGAACTAACTTTTTTCTGGTAAGAAAAATTTGAGTGGATTCCGGCTACCATCACGGGCCAGAATATGCCTTCAGAATCATTGATTACTTATAGAGATTCTTACAAATTATCCACCAATACAGTTTTTATATCGATAGTTAGATTCGAGCACACGAGCTTTTGAACTGAATCATCCTGTGGAACTAAGAATGGTCAAAAGAATTTGCTGCTTCCAACTATGAACTTGCTCATACCGGTGCCAAACACATTAATAGCATCCTTGACTATTTGCTCAAGTTAGATAACTTCAAAATCCACATTCCTGATTCAAGAATTGGCAATAGTAATTGATGCACGTTAAGTTCAATGGCAACAAGATACAGGGTACAAACATCATTGTGGCAAAGTGTATTTTATGTAAAAAAGAAGAAACAAGCATTGTGATTGAATTGTGACTCCATACTCTCCAAAATCACACAACCAGCACAACATGTGACTAACATGGAGCAGCAGAAACTGGTCACAACTAACATTGGATGCATCTATCAGTGCCAAGGTAACTAGATAGTCCCTCTCTCCCAAATCTTTTGTCCTTTCCCGCAAATTTAACCTTTTGATAATAGTATGTGAATAGTGATAAGTATTCAAATCTTTTCACTTTTACTCTAAAATTCAAAATTTGGGTAGTATAGTACATGTTACTTATCCAAAAGACAAGGGATAAAGGTTTTAAAAAGAGTAAAAATTATGCTATAACCTATTTTAGATGGCAAATAGTTTAGGACATGCGAAAATGAAAAATATAACAATTTCCACAGAATGAAGTTAGTATTTATATTGAGTTTTTTTTTTTAATATTGCGCCTTTAGAATTCATGATAAAAGGCAAATCCGGTATTAATTTGTCTACAAAAGATTTAAATTTTTGTGCTAAGGTGTATGCAATTCAGGGATCTGAAGCAAGATAACTGGAAAATAAGCTTTTATTATTAAAAAACAAAAAACTAGATACTTAGTTATAAACTAAATTGCTAGAAGTCCCATGTGCAAATGAGAAGATTATCTCATTCAATGGATGGACCCTTCAACAGTCTAATCCAAGGCTACATATCAAAAGGACAATGGTAGATTGAGATGGGGAAGCGGCAGATAGATACATTTTGCTTTTTAGATCACAGCTTGGAATTGGAAATACCAACTTTATAAAAACTATGTCTTGATTACTGAATGCCGACATCTAAATTGGTTTTGGTGGGGAAATGCAATCAGGATTGCAAGACTCCAGAGAAATAATGCAAGATTTGATCACGTTAACGAGAATGTTGTAGCACGAAAATCAAACTTAACTTTAATAATCTTGAATAAGCATATTTTTTAAGAACTCTCCTCTTTTCTAACTTCTCTCTATTTCTCCTCTTCTCAAAAGCCTTCTTGGTCTCCCCTCTCACAAATTTCGTTTTATTTTTTAATTTTAATGAAGTCTCTCCTAAGTTTTTCTATATCTCCTAGGAATTTTTAGTGAGAATTTTCTGTTCTCCTAGAGCTTCTTATGGAGATTTTTGTATTTTTTTAATTATTTTATTGTTAGATATGAATTTATTTTAAATATGGTTGTCAGATTTGATTTTTTTTTGAATCTTGGATCTTTCAATATCATTATTGGAGTTTAAAGTCGTTGATTAGCAGATCTGGCAATTGTAACGTACAAGGAGATTAAAGTCATTAATTAGCAAATCTGATGATTGTAACATACACGGAAGGAATCTGTAGTAATTTATCTTAGACAATTTTGAAATTTCTGTATTTTTGCTCTGTTCATAATTTTTTAAATCTATTATATCTGTTAAATTACATATTTATAATTTATAGTGCATGTTTATTCTGCCATTAGAGTAGTGATATAAATCAAATCGTGCTTGACGATTTTAAGTAATCCATTAATGAAACTTACTTTTTACCAAAAAAAAAAAAAAAACAGTTTAGTAAACCTTATTAAATTACATGGAGATATTGATTTTTTAAAAAATTTTTTAGTAGAGAAGAGGCGGAATTCATGAAGTGGGAGGAAAACAGGGGGATTTGAATCAAAACTTCTATTTGTGGAATCTCAATCTTAGATATTAGAAAATTGATTTTTTTTCTTTATTATGAAAAGAATGGTGGTTACAAGAGTAAGTTAATGGATTAACTTTTTATACATTGGCAGTATAGTGATTTTTTTATACTCGCAGATTTGTATGTATACTAGATGTGCATGATTTAAATTTCAAATTTGAATTCATGTTATGTAGCATGATCTACACTTGATTGTGTAAAAAATCTTTACACTGATAGTGTATTAAAAAGTTATCCCAAGTTAATTGTGCTATGAAAATGGACCTAGTTTTCCTATTTTATATGAAGAAAAGAAAAATTAATAAAGAAACTTCAAAAAACCAATTAAGATTTAGAATCTAAAAAGTCAAGATTGTACTGGTAGAATGGATTTTCGAGTTTTATCCTTTTTGTTTTCAAGTAAATTGTAATTAGTAGCATTTATTTTGTTTCTTGTTCTCACGCTAGCTAGCTAATACGTCTAAAATATGTTTGAACCTTGAAAACGCGTTTTCAAATCTATTTGATGGTTTATCAAACTACCATTTTCTTCTGGAGATTACTCACAATGGATGATTGATGTGACTTGACTCAGGAAAAATAAATTTTTTTTAATAGAAAAGATCATTTCACTCATTGCATATGCACTAATGATAGAAAATATATAACATATACATATAGATCTGAAATTAATTAGATACAACAGATCTAACAAATCAATATAAATAAAAGTAATATTGATACTCCTAGATATTTTTCATTTGGATGAATAATTCTAACTCAATACATTTGTGCATGTTTTCTGACAGTCCCATTCAAGCACATGGGGAATTGGAAGATTCAAGTGAAGACTAGTTGATTGCACGAATGCTTGAGTTTAGTAGGATTATTTGATTTTCCTCGTTGATTTTGGTTATTTCTCGTTTTAAAAAATCAGATCTAATTAAAACAGGTTCAAGTCAAAGAAAAATTCAAATCTAACAAGAATAAAGAAAATTGCATATCTGAAAAACTAGATCATAGACCTACAAAATCTCAAATATCATAAACAAAAAGACAGAAATTTAAAAAAAAATCTCACTAGGAAAAATCCAGGAGAGAATAAAACTCTCACTAGAACTCTTTGGAAAAAAAAAAAAAAAAACTCTCACTACAACAAAAATAGTAAACTTAAGAAGGAACATTAGTACAAAATAATATTTGATTAATCATCCATTTAAATATCATGGGACGTCAAGATTCTGTTCTAAACAATTTAATGTCTCTGGTAACTCAATATGAATGCTTAATATATTATAATTTAATTCTGTTCTTCCTTATATTTTATAATTTACTACTTTATTTTTTTTCTTTTTCTAACTTTTTCTTGTTGGATATTTTCCTGTCCTATACCAATTATGGGGTCTTGGACTTTTTCACCAAACAACACATTTGATTCCTTTATCCCTATATTTTCGGTGGCCACTTTTCCTAGTTCCATAATTAATTATTGTTAATTACATTTTGCGTTCAACTGACCTATGAAATATTGCCTCGTGCTGTGCAAAGGGATCCACCGACTACGTCATGTCAGTACTCTTCTAGTGTAGGCAGACAGCCAGACGCCATAACACACCGAGTTCACACTAATAATGATCATCATAATCTTATGATTAAGTTAAAGAAAAAATATTAACACAATTTTGAGCAAGTCATAAATCATATACCATGGTTAATTCAATTTGAATGTTATGATAATTCTAAATGCTTATTACCTTAAATCCTTAAATTGTTCAATAGTTTGCTGTGTCCAAAACGAATATTTCATGAGAAAATAGTTTGTTGTATTTTCTTTTCTTTTTTTTTTGGTCTAGAATAACGAGAATGGTTTCTGAAGAATGCCCTATTCAGTCCTTGATGTATATATAAACATCCTAGGCAAGTCCAGAGATTTAATTAATTATTATCAAGATTTTGTGTATTAATTGAATATTAATTGGCAGTTTTTAGGAAAGTTGGGATTGTGAGAACTTTGGAAAGAAATGAGCAATGCTGCAATAAAGAATTACTTTCTATAAAATTTTGTGGCAACATCAAGAAAATATACATACATAGATTTGTTACCATTTTCAGATGGAATAATTTTTTTTTACAAATAATGAAGGTTTTCTTCTTAAAGCACATGGTGTTTGTATTACCCTTGTATTTGCCTAGAAATGTTTGGAGATATATTTCACAGATAGGATTAATCTTGGTTTATTCCC